TTGAGGAGGAGGATGAAAAGGATGATAATTAATGTTGTGGAAGAGGAGGTGGAGGAGGAGGATGTTGCAGAAAATGAGGTGGAGGATAACGATGTTAAGGATGATGATGTCAAGGGGGAGGACGAGGATGATGTTGAGAATAATGATGTGGAGGAGGAGGAAGATGATGATATTGAGGAGGAGGAGGAGGAGGAGGAGGAGGAGGAAAAGGAGGAGGAGGAGGACCGATCACAAGACCCCCGAGTGTGTACACACTGTGTGGGAAACTCACGTTGCTCCAGGGATTGTTAGGGGGCAAATGGATATAACTTGATATAACTAATGTTTGCCATGTTAAGAATCCCTGCGTGCCTATGCGTTGTGCTGCAAAGATCATACCAAATAACAAATCATGTAGTAATTCATTCCAGTGGTTGTGTCACTTCTTCCGCATGGCACACCGAGATGAGACAACAAAGTGCTATCTGAGACAAGAAAGGGCTTTCACCCAGTAAGAAAAAAAGAGCAAATCCAAGTTTTCATAAATTTTCAATATCTGCTCAAACCTACCGCTGCGATCCGCTGCGCAGAGACCAAAATCCCTGCACCAACACAGCACCAAGGGAATATGGAGAAATGTGGCACCGGTCACGAGGAGCACAAAATTATTGTCCCAGAGACTATAAATATATAAGAACGATGATTTCAGATTTCAAATAATATATAATTATATATTCTATATTATATTTACATGCTAAATTTCCTTTTGAATATGTTCAGTGTGTTTGGTATAAATTGTTAAATATTGAAATCAAGTTTTAATTTTTTTGTGAATTAATGATGTATATTGTATATTTGTAAATATTTCAATTTTCCGCAGTGGGAGTTAATGCCACAGATCGTTCATCTTAATTTCAAGTTGAAAGCATCAACTTTTGATGTGGCTAGCATCAACTTTTGATGTGGCTAGAGTGTGAAAGATGATATCATATAGGTTGGTTGTGTTTGTTCTTAACATTGCCGAATGTAGTGTGCATTCTCTAGTGTACACAATCACAAAGCCGAGACCAGTCACTCAGGAAGAAACTTTGCTGTTTGCAGAGCACACAGCACCTGAGTTCGCTGAGTGGAGTTCTCCAACCTTTTGCGCTATCTTCAGATTCAAGGCTCTCATTTGTCAGCCAGATCCTTGGACTTAATCATTCCATAATAGATATATACAGTTGTATATCAAAAATCTTGTAATTATGTGTGCGACACTGACTGCAACAAGGGGACCTTCACACAATTCTGTCCGAGTGCCACACCCGCGTTGCATCCATTTGCTTCTGGTCTCGAATTCAACCTACAGGAAAGTGGCCAATGAATCAGTCCATTCCCAAAGAAAGATACACTCCTGGATTCAGCATCACAAATTGTCAGGTTTCACGTGGGACATTGCTGCCATGTGAAAGCCCTGAATCTACACTCAATATCGGAAAACCGGTGTTCAGAAAGACAAGTCAACGATCGTTTGCGCCAATGTTGGGCGCTTAAAAAGGCACCTCTTATCCCAAATGATTGGAATGTTTCATTCGAAGGGTGGCCATTTGTATCTCAAAAGTCCCAACTCATCCACCAGTCGAATGTTTCGGCTCACGCACAGAAGGTGAAATTCTTGAAGAATAACCAATATTCTTGTTCATCAGCTGAAAACGTCTCACAAAAAGGGCCTCGCCAAATACCAAGTCATTTGTACTGAGTATAAGTGCTTGCGAAGGGAGTACCAGACCCATCTCAAAGTCTTAAAGTGTGCGGCTACCGTTTAGATCTTTGTCGAGTCAATACACAACTTGAGACATCCGTCCAATATCGACGGGTCCTAAAACATAAATCATTCAGCTACGTATACATTAATGTTGTTTTTCTTCAAAAACCATGGGCCCTAAAGTCCTGTGACTTGTAATCATCTCATCATTCGAAATTTACATGAACCTGGCCACTTTGGTGTATGTATCATCATTTACTGTATATGTACATATATATATATACATACTATACATACATATATACTCCAGTTTTTGCACAAACACATTTTCTCCTTCATATCCTTGGGGTAAACCGCCGCTCGCCTAGGGCCACTGTGTGGGGTCACTTCGCAGCTCATCCGATGCTGACCCGCACACGCGCAGGGCTGGCCACTTGGGCTTCCAACTTTGCCTGCGACCAATCTGCAATGGGAATCCTTAGATATTAAAAAAAGGGCATATACTAATATCATAAAAGCATATAAAAGCCCCAATAGCTTGATGACCATCCCTTTTGGGTCATAATCCAACTTTAGACCATGGTATACCATGGCACAAATGGTTCACTCACTCCCGTTCTTCAGGTAGCTTCACCCCCACAGGTCCTCCTTGGATGGCTCATCATCCTCCTGCCAGCAACATTTGTGGACGTGAAAGCCTTCAAAACAGATCACGGTTGGGCTAAATGAAGTACATCCTGTGAGGTCCCCTTTATCAGGATCATGTGTGGTGACGTGGACAATCCAGTGGCAAACTTGGGACTGCCAAAAATATTTGGTTGCCGTTAAAAATTATAGGCCATTACAGGCAAGAAAAGCCCCGAATCTGCAGTTCGTAGTGTCCACCAACATTAGGCCAAACTCAAAGCCAGCAGCTCCAAAGTCTCCAAAGAGGCTCTTTTTGCCATTGGCATCAGACAAGGGCAATAGTCCTGTGCAGGTCTCTTGCTGTACAGAAATAAGACAAAGTGGCCGTGTACCACAAAGACCTCCAGTAGCAGTGCAAGATGAATAAGTCCCTGAGTCTAACCCTGGAAACATGTTCCAGAAATAACCGGACCCTCCACAGGTCAAAGATGTCAAAGGTCTGACTTTTTTCGGCGACAAATCTTATACAAATCTTCAGCTTCTTCTTGATCTTGCAAAACTCTGTTGGTTTGCACTGAGATGAGAAGCTGTGGAGTTTGCTACCGCTGAAGCACCCAACAATCGTAAAGTAATCACAAGGAGCTTCCCATCCCGGGCACAGTCTGCACTCGGACGGTCTGCGCGAAAGCCGCTATGGCCAGCTTGGAAAATGGATATCAAATGGAGATCAAATCTCAATGTGTGTTTTTTGGGAGCAGCTGTTGGCTGCCTCTCATACTGGGTGGCGTTTCATGATGACATGATCAGTCTGGATTTCCGTTGGGAATTCTGCAACCCTTGGAGTCTGCAATGATCAGTCTGAGCTAGTGACTAGTGCAGAGAATTGGATTCAATGTCTGGTCGTTGGGCCGTCGAACAATCTCATATCGTGATTTGGGCATTGAATTGATGTGAATTCTCCAAACAATGCCTTCCGAGGTGGGTAACTTGCAAATATACATATGTGTATATATATAAATATATATCTGATATATACATCATATATATATATATATCATATAATGCATCATATGAGCTGCGAACCATATTTGTTACATAACGCAATTGACGGGGTGTTCCTACCTCGTTCTCCAGTCCCGTAACGTTTTTGCCTACCTCGTTCTCGGGGTGTTCCTACCTCGTTTTACAAGCTAAATATGATGTCTTTGACAAACCGGGGTACGCCCGAATACTACTTTCCATATACGCAAATAAGAGCCGTCGCTCATATAATGTATCATATAATGTATCATATAATGTATCATATAATGTATCATATACCATCTGTCACCTATCGAATATAATCTATCATATAGCATATCATATCATCAAAATATCGAAGTGGATGATCCGACCGAATCGCGGAATCTGTGAGAAGACTACTAAAGCCATGTTAGAGAGCTGCCTCGAATATCAATCAAGGGGTGCAAACCTGGGAATTGATGAAGTGTTGGTTCCAAATTGTGTATCACATTGAAGTACACATCTTGCTACGCCACCCTGATGTCTCTCATCCTTTGGATGGCGCGACGTCGCGGGTGGAAGTTTCCACCATGAATTCTGGCGCTGGGACGCTGCGACTTCCCCTAAAACTGTTCAGGTGCCCTAGGCAAGTGGTGGATCGAGGCCAAAGACAGGCCAAAGTCTGAGCACATGATTTCCTGGGGATATGGTGGGATATGGTGGGATACTCAGTTATTTCAGAAGTTATTTCGCATCCGCAAAATGAAGGCGAAGAATGGCGAAGGCCTCTTCAAATGCTTTGGCCTCCCGGACAAAGCAGATCCATGTGAGCTGCAATTTGTCCATCCACCACGGTAGACGACCAGCCAGACCCGTTCTGAGTGGATCCAGGCATGAGAGCAATCTTTCCTGTTGTGATTTTGTCACCCAGCGCATGGGATAAGGAGCCCACGAACAATCACCCGGGAAAGAGTCTTTAAGATGAGACCGGCCACCTATAGAGTAGCCCTTCGAGCCATAGCACCCCGCCACTTCGAGGGACTGGCCGATTGTACTGAGAAAATTTGCACCGGAACAGCGGGGGAATGGCACGGATCAGGAGCGAAAAGCCTCGATGGGCCGCAGGGAGGTAAGGTACTTACAATTGGGGTGTATTTATAGTTACTTGATTTACTTGCCAGGAATTATATAATTGGGATGTGCTGGAATAATACCTGGATACAAGCACTCCCATTTATTCCTCCAAAACCATGTCTGAATAAACAACACTCTTGGATACTCTTGGCATCTTTTGGCTATACCCATTTGGAATATCATGATGATGCGGAGTTCCGCTTCCATGGATGATGTATAGTCTAACACTCTCAGACTCTCAGTGGGCCTAAAGGCAGAAACTACTGGTTGATGATAGTCCATTCAGAGCCGTTATTCCAAGCAGGGATAGAATGTGCAGACTATTTGCAAGAGGAAACCCATGCAGTGTTTCTTTTTGTTTATGGTCACCATGTCGTTGTAAACCCGCAGCCATTCCCTGCCATCTTTGCCAATAGATTCATTCACATCTTCCTCGGTTCTTTCCCAGTGAATCTGCTGAATCTGCCAGGCAAATCCTCCAAGATTGGCCCAGGATCGGGGCGCCCGACACTCAGAAGGGAAATTTCATGAGCAGCGAATCCGTGGTCTGTGAGCCCCGCTTTTGCAGCGGCCGCTTCGGCGGGGAGCCCTGGCCGACATCCATCACAAACAACCAATGCGACCCTGGATCCTGAGGTTTTTTTTGCTCCGCATCAACCAAAAGATGTGTCAGAGTTTCTAATGTCATTATCATGTAATGTGGGTAAAACAAAAATAAACCACCCATTTGGGATGGTTTATACCACCTATTTATGGTGATTTGGGTGATGGTTTAATATTGTTTTACCATGTTTTACCCACATTATTGTACAAAATCATTGACCTTTTAGCAGGAGCCAAGCCGTAAATGCCCAGCTTCCCCGTGCACTTGCCTCCCTGTTCTGCGTCAGCAAAGCCATAAACCTAACGCAGTCCGAGTGTCTAAGAAAGGATTCCTCTTATCGTTGCAACAAACAAATGGCTGTGTCAGAAAATGTGGTATACCCCCAAAGGGCTATTTTAATGAGAAAATGATGACAAACCATCAAATCTTGAGGTATTTTCACACAACCCCAAATGGGTGCCCCATCTGCTGGTGCCTGCAGTCAGCGTGTCTATAAGAGAGAGATCCAAATCTAAGGCACTTTGCCAATTCAAATTCAAATGGCGCCGAATCTCTGTAAAGAGCTGTGACATGATCTAAAGTGTGAGAAAAAACTGATCTTGGCTCGTTTGAACAAGCTAAACATTGGAGTCTAAGCGTCTGGACTTCAGCAAGAACTGGACATTGGCAATCAACGATCTACATGCTGCCCAGAGTCTCTTTAAAGTTCAGCTCTCCATCACGATCACTGTCGTAACCTTGGAAGTTCGATGAGACCCATGCAACTATCTGTGATGCTGCGACAGTGAATAGGAAATGCTTTGGCGGTTTAGCGTCCATTCTAGACGATGAAGGACATTGTTTCTCGGAATAGCTCAGTTCTTCATCAGAGTTCAGCAACTCAGGAGTACAGGGAAGCATTGACCTTGCCACCCGCAACTCCTCTGCTTTGTAGCGACATTGACAAAAGTGCCCTGATTTCATTCTACGAGTGGCACTGTCTCCTGAAATGACCAAGCAACTGAACAGGTTGGTTGTATTTCACTTTGAATTGTGACTCTAGTGGATAGGAGAAGTGGTCTGTCGGTTAGACATGTCAAGCAAAAACTATCAATTTTCACGACAGAACGTCCATCCGTGTCATCAAGCATAAGTCGTGGTTCCGAGCAGCAGCTTCTGACCATGAATTTGCACAATAAATAAACATCAATACACGTCAATACTCGCCAAATTGAGTGCTTTACCACGACGAAACAGTTATTTCGTTTGCCCGGACCTTCTTGCAAAAGTTTCTCCTTTTTCCCGAGAGCGCCTAAGCGTAGGGTTCTTCTAAATCTAAAAAAGGAGCTGAGATTTTGCATGTTCACATCTTACATCTGCACATCTTACACCTTGAGATCTTACATCTTACATCTCACAACTTATGTGTGTACAAACGTCTGTGTATAAAGACTTCTGTGTGTACAAGCGTCTGTCTGTGTGTAAAAATGTTATTCGACAAATTTTCTCTGTGTAAAAATCGGCTACGTGCGATACGTGTAAGCGCGTCTATATGAGGCAGCGTGTGTGTGCGTGTGTGTGTGTGTCTGTGTGTGTGTGTCGGTGTCTGTGTCTGTGTAAAAGCATGTCTGTGCGTATGGAAGGGTCTATGCGTGAAAACATGTGTGTGTGTGTTTAGATGCCATGTCTGTGTTAAGAGTGTGTGTGTGTGTAAAAAGCTCTGTGTGTGTGTCAAAGCGTGTGCGTGTAAGAGGATCTATGCGCTAAAGGTGTCTGCATGTAAAAGTGTCCTGCCAAAAAGCATCTCTGTGTAAAAGCGTCTGCGTATAAAGGTGCGTGTGTCTGCGTGTCTGTGTGTGCAAGAGCGTCTGTGTAACAGCAGCCACGTTGCGTGTTGTTCTTTTGTTTTAGACCTTCTCCATCTTTTCTTTATCTCTTTCATTCTCTTTCTATCATCTTATCTCATTCACACAACATTATCATTTCAGAATATTGATATGAGAATGTATACTGTATTCACCTGAGTAACTTTGATCCTCTACGCTCTCGGGCCATCCGTCGTCTAGTTTTTTCAAGCACAAAGTTCGCCAGATCTGTTGAGGACCTTGCCCTTGAGGGTTTTGCGCCATACAGCAGCAGTTTTGGAAAGGCAACTGCTTTGGAATGTGTGGAAACGTATAGTCGCGTAACATGACTTATGTGTGGAAGTGCGAATGAACGTTATTATATAGATGTTATTAGCCCACCCCACCCCACCCTAAAACATCAACACGCGCATGGCCCCTTACGGGCGACACCATAAACATCAATAAACCATCTTCTGCCAAAAGCCAAGTAACGGTCTAGAAGTTCCATGACCTCATCCCGCAGCTCATTCCCCAAGAGGTCCTGATAGGGGGCTGCCGAGAATCTCCATTTTCAATAGGTAAATCATCATAAATACAGTGTATATATAATTCCTGTATAATTGTTTTTTTGCATCCATAACTATGTCAAATAACCAAATGGTAACTGTTGCTATTGATATCAAGTGAGGATTGATGAGGATCCATGTTGGGTCACCCATTCAACGTCATCATCATGGATCATCTAGGACCCTGGTTCTGTTCTGTGCATTTTCAAAACTTGCACACCAAAAAATAATCCAATGGTCCAGCAGTTGATCATTACACTACTTTAAGATTGAAAATAGAAAGAAATCGGATTTCATCCTCCGGTTGATCATGATGTGCCTTCTTAAAATGCATCTAGCATGTGGAATTTTATGAAATTGTGGGGCTCTCCAAGAAATATGGCTCCGTCCCCGAAAAAAGTATGGGTCAATTATTTTGAACATCAAGATAGCTAGTTTTATAGAGAAGTTCTTTCCCGCCACAGTCCAATGGGTAACTTAGATTGCTTACACATAACTCATAAAAACAAAATGTTATCGGTTTATCATTATTTATGGGGCAATCGCCAAAAATGCCCAGAATCATCCAGAATCCAATGACATTCCGGGCCTCCGGATCTGCTGCCTTCAAAAGCTGAAAGAGCTCCTGCCATTCACATTTTTGGATCATGGATGTTCGCCAGCAAAAAGGTGGATGCAGCAGCTGCCAAACACTTTCAACATGTGGTTTTAATATGATTACGTAGATATATATATATATAATTATATAATTGAAAACCTGGAAATAAATGAAAATAATGGAAGTTGACAAGCCAAGACAGACTCACCATAGATCTCACCATTGTGTTGACCACATGTGGACCAACAGATCAGAGGAATCCACTGGTCACCAATTTCGGGCGGACAAAAATGTCTGCTGAGCACATCAAATACATCAAGTGTATGAGGTGCTATGCAACACTTTGCAAACAAAGTTTGGATGGGTCAAAATTTCGTGCCCACTCCTACTCAGCATGGGAGAGTTTGCTATCTGAAATGACTGAGTCTAAGTGTCCAAGAGCCTTATATAATATGATAATATATGATATAAAGCGAATTTCAACCCACCCCCTTTTTCTGATGGCTTCAGCATGCCTGTATAGAGATGGTACCGCTTGCATCACGGTCCAACGCACCAAACACCTCAGCGTGCGCTTCCGAATGTTGCAACAAAGGACAGGAATTACCCCGGCAGTGCAGTTAGCTTAGGCTTAGATATCTGCCAAAGACGGGACAAGACAAAGCAGATAAACAGATGCGCATGCTTCCAAAAAAGTACATCCTATCACCTGGAAAGTGAAAACCGGATACCGTAAAAATCCATTCCCAGCAGACAAGGCAGCTCCACCTGTAGGCACAAATCCTCTCTGAAGAAGATCTTCCGGTCGATTGCAGCTGCCATAAACTCGCCTTGGCTTTAGAGAACATCAATAGATGATAGAATCATTCACCAGCATTGCACACCCCAAAATAATGACATGCAGTTTCACCAAGCAAATCCGCCTAAAATGGTTTTCTCGTTAAACTTTAATTTAAACTCCCTTTTCATAGATCTTCAACTATGGCAAACCGATTTGGACCAAGGTAAGACCTGACCCGCCCCAGGCCAGATATGACTCGAGGATATACCATCAATCCAATAGAGGAAAAAAGATCGGGAAAGAATGAGAAATTTACCAAAAATTAAAACAACATGACGTAACTAACGGGGAAAATTAAGCTACTGTAACTGTAAGTCTTTTTAGCCCCCTCTTCATTGCCTGGGGGTAGACTCTCCCGTGCCAAGCAGCTGTAATCAATGGCCCCGCTCCGGTCAGCGTCCAGCGTCTCGGATTCGGGAACCCAATCTATCCAATTTGAAGCTATGCATGGGTCAAAACCCTGATGCTTTCTGTTGAACATGTAGTAAAGGTTATCACCCATCGACATGAATATGGGCTTTCAAAGGCATACATCAGTTTCTTAAATTGCAATTGTTGGGATCCGCATTTCTGCCATAAGTCAATCCCGTTTTGAATCTTTCCACACCACGGAATCCTCTGTGCCTCAAAGAGTTCCGAGAGCTCCGCTGTCTGCCAACGAAGAGGTAACCGTGGTAACCGTTACAGACCGTTTGCAGCTGTGTGGATCATGATGCTGGGAACAAGTGCCCACGATCCTCGAGTTTGGGGTAGGAATCAAGCTTCAGTAGCTGCTCAGTAGCGCATCTCAATGATTGAGACTTGGGTTTGACTCCAAGACTTCCCCCATCTTTGCTCCTCTCTTCAGAGGACAGCACATTTTTAGTAGGTTTCTCGGAAACCAACTGGCATATGTCATAGATCCCCACTTCCTATTGAGATCTTGCTTTTGTTGGTTTAATCATGCTTAATCTCAGATTTTGGGGGTAAAAATGGCAACTGTTGCTCGGAGCCTCGGTCACAGTATGATCAGTGTGTGCCTCTGGAGATGGACTGCCTCCATCGCCACTTTGGAAAGTGGGGGTCCCCCTGATCAATGGCTACCCCCTGTTTTTTAGGGGACAATGAATGACCCGCCTAGCCTATTTTACAGAAAAAAACGTGCTAATCATCGTTTTCCCACAAGAAAAATAGCCGTTCATGGGGTATACACCATTTGTTATTTATTGTTATTTAACAAGACAATATCGGGAGTACATTCAGTTTTGAGACAAACCCACGTGCACCCTCCAGGGAACTTTCCTGGATCAGGGACTGGACCTGGAGAATTGAGAGGGTTTTTCCAGGGAAAATGTGTTTCCATTGTTTTCCACTTTCAGGTCGACGTGTGAAAGGGTATATTGACTTCTTTGTGTGTGTTTTTGTGATGTTTAGATGTTTGATTGAAGCTGCCGACTTCTGATGAGAAAAAATTGTTTTAGTAGTCTGCTGGGCTGACCCCGTATCACATACCTTTGTCTGAAACTGGGCCGTTTTCTACCCTCGCCTGAACCGTTCGAAAGGCTCTTCCGAAATTCCTGCACGGTCATGTTTAATCATGTTTATGGGACGTTCATGGTATTTCATGGGATCCAATGGAATTTTGAATGGCTTTTCAATGGGATTTTCTTATATCATCTTATATCATGATATATCCTGGGAATCTAATATCACATCATAACTCATCATATATCTTATTGGGATCAGTGATCAATTTTCTGGGATTTTCATGTCTTGCCCCAGGCCCCACTGGGCCCCACTTTGCTTCGTCCTCCAGGGAGAGTGAGCCATCTCCATTGGTATCCATGGCCTGTCGCATAAACTTCACGAATAACATACCATAACTAAAATAACCTATCATGGTTAACATATGTAAAGTGAAAAATAATTAACCTAATCATAGTTTTATAATATGTGTTAATATTGTTCGACGCTTTGCTGGGTCAACATGATCAACTGGTCAATGCTTTGTTCGATTTCAGCAGCTGTGCCACCTTAAATGCACTGTAGATCTCTGGCAAATCATTCGCTCCGAGTTGTCTCGCCACCACCATCAGAAGAATCCTTCCAAAAAGCGCAAAAAGAGCATGTCAACACTGGACCCGGGTCAATTTGGGACATTCTGTCACGCTGTGCTTGCTTCATGACTGAATGTCGGACAAGTTGTGTGTGTGCGCATGATTGTGCATGTATGTCGATAGATCATCGATCGCCGTGTCCAGTTTTGTATTCTTCGGGGACAAAGGTTACAACTGTGGTGCCTTTGTCGTATGTAGACTGCTTGGTTCAACTGGGCTTAGTCTTCCCAGGTTACAGTAGAATGTCAGACCGCAGCTGTCGGATTTTGGAAACAGTTTGAAACCACAAGCAGCTCAGGAGTGGAACCATCTTGGGGGTTCCACAAATGGGGGGTAGCCCAAAATGGATGGTTTAGTATTATATAATTATATAAATGGGTGATTTATGGTGATTTGGGGGTAAACCCATTTTAGGAAACCTCCATGCGGACCCTATCTTGCCCTTTTTCAACCTGATGTTGCGATTGCCAGCCTTCTGAAGTAGGATGTGCTCTGGTAGCGTTTGAGTCGAACGGTCACCTTTAAGGAATTGGCTGGGGAAACAACTGGGAGGAGGAAATTGCCAGGTGATAAGATACCAAGTGGTACTTTGACAACCGAACAAGAATGCGGATGTCACCACTAAAAGTGATGGCTTTGCTCTCAAGACCTCCCTTCCGCGCCTGTGCTGGCACGGTCTCTTCTTCCATGCTGAATTTAGTCACCTTAGACTACAAAGCTTGCCCACAGCATCAAATGGGCCTGCGCCCTTAGCTGTTTGATCAAGTTTTGCCAGAACAACACAGATGGTATCTGTTCATGTGCCAACTACATTAGCCTGAGGCGAACCAATCAAACATAGCTGTTGGCTGTAGCAGCCAACCGAAGCTCACTGGTTCTTCCACTGCGCCAGGGGCCCGGACCCAGGGATGTTCCAGCACCTTGGCCGCGGACAGACGGTCCACTGGCTCCACGACCAGTAGCTGCCGGATCAAGTCCTGCCAGGTGATGGAAAAGATGGTGAGGATGGGTCCAACTTTCTAAGCAAAGAAAAAAATGGGAGCACAACCCCCAGAAGAAAGGATGGCGACTTCCCTGGCTCTTTAAAATTGAGCCGTACCGGTGTGAGTCATATCAATGACATTGTCAAACTCAAGTCTGACTATCTCTGAATCTGCCAAATCAACAGCCCAATATCTCCCACCAACTGAGAGTTGACCTTCAGGTATCAACATGTATCCTGTAGCCTCGTGGTTTCTTCAACGAAGCGTGACCATCCGTGACCAACGTCCTTGGCTTCAGGCGAAATGCTGTACCATTCCTCGGCCTCCAGCGAGAAGTCGCCTTTCCTGGCGGCCGCAGCAGATTTGAAGGGCAGCGAGCCGCTAAGCATGGCATAGAGCAGCACGCCAAGGGACCACAGATCCTTGGGGGCCACTGGGGCCACTGGGGATGGGAACCACCATGGGACCCTTGGGATTCACATGGTTGCAGGATGATGCAGGATGGAAAGTGAAGAATCTGTGAAACCATGAAACCACTACACAAAACAATTGCTTGGGCAGGTTTGATCTGAATTGGTGGAGCTCCAAATGCCGTTGAGTGACGCATTTCTCCGAGTAAGAACTGTTGTTCTTCACTTCTGGCGCCAAATATGCCTGGCACCAAAAAGCTTGGCGCTGCCAACAGCATCAACAGCTTCTGTGTTTGTAGGACTACAGTTAATGCCGTTAAAGAGAAGCTCCAAATTCTTGAAATGCTTCACAGGTTGCCTAAAACCATGAGTGACCTCTGAGTCCCAGATCTCATGACCTCAGTGCCCTTTTCGTCTTTTCGGTGCTCCGTCTGTTTGAAATGACAAGCAATACCTGGGGCTTGTGGATGTTGGGGGAATCAATCCAGTTACAGTTAAAAGATATGTTATATAACATTAACCATAGTTGATATGATTAAGTTGGTTTATATCCCAACTTTCCGGGATTATTACTGCTTATCACCATGGTCATACTAAACAGCAGACAGGAAGTGCATCCACTTCTTTGCGTGCGGGTCTCATGGGCACCCCTTCTAGTTGGTTGATACTGAATGGTATTGGTGTACATACTGGATTAAAACATTTGGAACAACATACTAGCAATCCCATCAAACATCACCAAACATCATCGGACCAGATACTTGGCAGTGCAGTTCCAGTTGCAAGTGGTTCTATAATACTATAACAGGCTACAAGCATAGTTACGGGGGTTACGTCCAAAGTTATTGGAGTTATTACCATGGTTCTACGATTCTTCTAGTAACCCCAACTGCACCCATAGGGTCCCCAGGGTCCCCAGGGTCTCAGGCTTCCGTTACAACAAGGCACCGAAGTCAATCAGCTTCGCTGGTGCGTCAGAATCGCTTGACACGAAGAGAATGTTCTCGGGTTTGATGTCCCGGTGGATGATACCACGGTCGTGGCAGTACCTGTGATTTTCCAATCTCTGTAGGAAAAACAGGAAAACAATGGAAAACACACATCTTCACCACCATTGGCTCATGATATTCTGATAATCAATGAATATTAATGATAAGTATACCCTTTGCGTTGGGAAGTTCTGATCCTTTCCATTTACTGTGCCTGACAGCATGAGAAAGCTGCCGAATGAGCTTGGCCACCTGCCAGCTGGTCGCGGGACTCACGGTCATCGGATACATGTGGGGAGCTACTCCCACGGTGAAAAAAAGACCCAAAATGGGTCTGAAAATCTGGCTGACGTGTGTTTTAAAGGGATCTTAAATTGGAATTTTGATGGATCTTTCAACTTGAGGACCCAGAAAATCCGCCACTTGGTGTTCTTGAGCAAGGACGCCTTTCAAGGATTGAGGGAGATTGCCACATCTTGGAAGCGTTGACTATGCCAGTGAATCCCATGGGGCGGGTCAGATGATCCCATAGAGATACAGCACCATGTTTTTCAATACCCATTCTAATAATCATAGAAAAATCCACTAGTATTAGAAAAACATTAGAAATATCCATCATTATCCATCCACTATTATTAGAAATATCCATTCTAATAATCTATCAATGATAATAGCATCAAGCAAAAAACATAACCGAAACTCACCATGATACACTTAAATGAATCATCATTCATCAAGATTAATCATCAATCATCCAAACAAATCCTCCTATGTGTCTAATCATAATGACCTACAGTACCTCTTCACTCTCCACTGAACGGACTTCGCAAGCGCTTGCGCCTGAGCTTCGCCGCCTAAGTCTCCTTCGGCGATTCGGTCAAACAGCTCGCCGCCGCGACACAGGTCCTGACGAAAAAACCACGCGACTCGTATCTGACTGGTGACCCTGGTGGGGTGAGTTTCCCATAGTTTCCCCACTTACTGTGATAAGCTAAAAAAAAACGGGGACTTGTGATCTAACACCAGGTGAAAATTGAATGTCCCATTGAAAACATTGAAAACAGGAGGGGTGCTAAAATGTGTTTCATGTCTGATTGGAAACATCACCCAATCAGCACACAGGGAATCATCATGAATCATCTCCATGAACTAAAGCTAAAGGATGCTAAAGGTGATCTTCAAACTCCACAAAACAGGACATTTACCAACCCACGTGAAAATGATAAGAGGAAATGAAGATGTGTGGACAGGAAATCAATTCAAATCACGGGTATGTTTAAGGGAGAATATGATGATTAATTCTGATGAATTTTCCATCATAAAAACTGGACTTGATCAATGGGAAAATTGAGTAGTGGGAACCATCAAATCCAATTGGGATTTTCCATTGATATTGCCAGGTTTCATTGATTGCCGAAGGGTAAATGGAAGGATTAGTGGTTTGCTGAAAAACGGTGGAAATCCTGCTGAGTAGGTATCTAATGTGAAAATCTTGCGTACTCAGTAGCGGGATGTTTCGACCATGCCAGTTGTGAACTCAAAACCACCTCTGGAGCCAAGGCGCCATGACCAAGAAAATGTTGTCATCATCCTCAAAGACTTCCTCAAGGGATCGATTCGTTCCACTGAGATTTCTGTGTCACAACCGAAGGCTCATTTTTTGGCAACGCAGTTGATTTCGAGTGGGAAATCCGAACTCAAGCAACTAGGATTTCAAGAGATGTTCGGCTCCTGGCAATCCTTTGACCTGATTGGATTCTTCAAGTCCCAGAAGTGGTGAACATCTGCAGGTTTCCTGTAGATTTTCCCTCAAACCAATCCATTGATAAAGCTTTTCACGAGGCCATCATAGTGTCATAGTGGTCCAACTGCTCCAAGCAACGTAGAGCTTGCAAATGTTGGGATGGTCCAGTTGTTTGAGCACCTCCCACCGGCGGTCCAAAGCCAAAAGGGAACCATGGGGGATGGCTACTCCAATTGTCAGGGATAACCATTGGGAGGTAACCAACAAATTGTGACCGGTGACGATGTTTGGAAAACGAGGTGCCAAACTTCTGGGCGGGGCAGCTTCCACCACTCCAAGATCCTGATAATTTCTCTTTTCAACCCATTGAACCAGGTAACCCCTTAAGCTTTATCCCTTCTATTGGCCCGTATTTAAAGATCATCCCAAATGTTATCCCAATCTTTCCATGTGTGTTTTAATGTTTTTTCCCGCATGGAAATTCCCAAAGAGGGCCAGAGGGCCGACAGAACCGATCACAGCCCATCCCCACCTCCACTTCCGCCAGAAAGCTCTCGGTGGAGTTGCTAACCCGACGCTTGGGCACCTTTTTGATGGCCCGGGCACCATCCTGGAGGGGAAGAATTTCAGTTTTTTTCCTTTAAATAGCGGAGATATGCTGGGATGATATGGATGTGAATAGCTCTTGATCCATCCCCATTTGAGAATGGGAACTATATACCAAGATATCACTTTCAAGCCTGACCAAAATCACACTTTCTGAATGCTGCAAAATCTTCTGGCAAATCTCAGAGGATTCATCTCCACTTTCATCACTCCCGGTCCAGCCTTGCCACTCAGGCGCCGTGCAGGTGTGCCACTTCTCCTCTCTCGGACTCGAGGAAAAGCCTGGAGTGCATGATTAATAAGCCCTGGTTGATTCATTCAGGGCATTCCTTAAAGTGACAATCTACTACCAGAATGGCACCACCCGAGTCCAGTGGATAATTCATCATCGGAGTTGACATTAAACATATAATATATACTGTGTAGATGTACATATGTGTGTATCAACATATCAACATAGACACCAACAAATCGGGAAAACCAACCTCCCAACTGGTCGCAGCTCGCTAGACTTAATAAACAGGGTTGCTCCCAACACGCCAGGTATAAGGGGTGTACCTGCAATAGGTTGGAACAACCCTGATAAACCATTCCCCACTTGCCCATCTTTCCTGTGTGGGGGCGCTTCTTTTCGGGCGTGGAAGATGATGTTCTGTTTAGGTGTAGGTATAACTATACCATACATGAGAAGGCCATAGAAACAGAAGGCCTTGAAGTAAGAGATTTGAGAGCCTTCAGGCACTGTACAGCAAGCTCGAAGTTCTTTGAGTTGTTGGTGTATCGGTAGGTTCATACGTTTATTCAATATCATTAGAAATCATTAAAGGCCCTTGCCAGTACCTTCGACCTATTTCTCTGAGGGTCGGGGTCCTGTTCTTGTGGGAAGCCTGGAAGAGCTGACTAAACACCTGACCACTGAGCCAAACAATCCCAGGCTAATCCAACGGTCTTCAGCTACTTTTTTCATCCGCAATGCTAGGCCAAAGAATGATTTGATCGGATGTCCTTGCGGCAGGACTGGGCCTTCCAAACTATCGCACGTGTATCCACCTATATAATATGCCTATAATATATATATATATATACACATAAAGGAAGTAAACATGCATATGTTTACACAAATACAAGCTCATGTCCATGGTGAAGGCTTGTTTTCCTGACCACGAGGAACATCCTGAGGACTTCATCGGACATCTCAGGTGGAGCGCTCAGATCCATTCCTCTGGTGACGCTCAGATTGAGCTGCAGCCGTGGGGGGTTTATTAAAGGTATACAGAGACAAACAGCTGCCAAAACAAAAAGCAGACCGATGTTCTGAGGCACGTTCTCAAACAAAATCTGAAAGTAGTTCTTAAACAAAGTTTTCAGAAACTTGAAGAAAAAATAAGAAAAATGTATTGTATGCCAAAATTTGGGGATGGTCAGTCCCACTGTGGGATGACCATGTAGCCTTTATCAACGGTCTGCCGGGTGACTGCACCGGGCTCACGGGAGCGGCTTCCGTGGCCGGATGAAGCAAGGTGGGGAATCCTGACTGGAACAGGAACAATGACATACAGCATACAGTACCTCTATGTCATGTGTCTATCTCTCTGTCTGTCTGTCTGTCTGTCTGTCTGTCTGTCTGTCTGTCTGTCTAACTATCGATCTATCGATCTATCTATCTATCTATCTATCGATCTATCTATCTATCTATATATATTATGCATATGCTGCATATATGTGAATATGTGGGGTGTACGTGTGCGCAATGCAGGCTCTGACTTTCCAGGCATCCACTTGTCCCTTGTTCCTCTTCGTGATGGAAAGAAATTGCGCCGATGGGATGGACATGGATGGACATGGATGGACCCATGGACCATCTGAAAGGCAACACGACTGTGCAGGGGGTACAGGCTTGGTAGATCCTGGTGGAGTGGGTGGACATAACAATCAGATTCGTCCCATGTTCCACCCTTGCCATCTGGGTCTCATGAACATAGTTAGGTCGATCAAAGAAGAACTGTCTTACTGACGTTTCACCTTGAATTGACTTCATATGATTTGACAGGTCTATGTCTATGTGGATCCACACACCTCCCCTAGATCTCCAAAGCCTCTGCCCATGACACAGCATTTCACAAGGCTCTGGTCGTGCCAGTTCCAAGCACAAAATCTGTTGGTCTGCTATCTTACATTTCCCAGGTGAAGCAACCTGCACAACGGTTGAGCCGTCCATTAGAAAAAAAAAAGGAGTTGACAGAATTTGCATCGAGCAAATGCACTGCAATTCAAGGCTGCCAAGTCAAAGTCTTGGCATCCTCAGAATACGACTGTGTGGGGTCAACTTCCATTGGATGTGTTGGATCTTCTGGGAAGTGCAGGGGTTTCATCACCCTGAGGCACCTCCATCCAACCCAGACCTCGATACTGAGGGAGAAACCCATCAGTCCTGTGAGATTCTGGTCAGATGGTCCTTCCATCTCTAGAAATAAACACTGACCATCTCATCCAATACATCCTCTTGAATCTCATCGCCTTCCAAGACAGCTCTGTAGCGCTCCACTAAATCTGTGAAGCGATGTGGTGATCGCTCCACTTTGGCACGGAATCGCTCCATCGCATGTAAGTGTCTCTCATGCGTACGACGTGTTGGGGGAAACCCCTGAGCTGCTTGGTGCAATTCAATGCTTCCCGTGATCTCCCATGATGACAAGCGCGAGAAGGGCCCCGGGGGGGTAAGGGCTCCCGGAACGTGCTCAGGGCACTTGGCGATCTCGGCTTTCACAGCACTGCAGCCCATCTTGGAGATGCAAGAGATGAAACAGGTTGATGTTCAAGCCGAATGGCTGCGATCTTCGATGGCTCTGCTTCGAGGTTTCGGGTTTACCAACTTGGCGAATTGATGGACAATCTGTTCAATCCTGAGCTACCTATCAATAACATCGCAAATTCCCTTTGCATCAAGCTGGCACTACAGGATGGCTCAGCAACACTTCCCCCTTCCATGCTGCTGGCTCACCTCCCAAGTAGACCCAGCAGCACCCTCTCCCAAAAGCTCTCCAAAATCGTAGCGATCCTCAGCGTTCTGTTCTGGGACAGCGGGAGCAACAGCAAAAACAAAAAACAATACTGAGGGCCGGAGATCAATCTCAAGCTATTGTAGGTTGGCAGTCATGTCTACTGTTCTTCCCCAGCATGCCGAACTTGAAAGCAGCTTGAACCACTCAAAGGACATTCTGAATGCTGGATAACGATGTCAGTATCAAGCCCTGATCTTTAAATCCAAGCAGCGTAGACGGAGATGTCAGAGCTGTGTTGCGAGATGAAGCCTGGGCGTGCCATCTTGCTGATGGCGATCTGGGGAAACCAGGCTATGGATCAAGCTATTGGGGTACCTTTAAGATTCAACGAATTGCTAATCAATCCTGGTCATTCCACTTTGCACATGTTAGGCCCATACTGCCCATACACAGTTGATTCACCAACATCACCAACCAAAATGGGATAATCACAGATATTCCCAGACCAAGCATCAGGGTGCAACATCGTACTTCAGTAACTCGACATGTTGAGAAAATTAAAATGTTAGCCATGTTTATAGTTTTTATGAGGTGGTGTCCCTTCCAAACTTTGATGAATATGGTGGATGGGCCATGGATGTCACGGTTCATCATACTCATCCAGAAGGGAAAGCCCTCCTGACCCAAAAAAGGCTGCGCCTTTGTATTGAACTGACGAGCTCATCCGCTTGTGAGTGGATGAAACAGGGGTGTCATCCCCTGCGGAGGACACTTCAAAAATTCACCACAGGTTCTCGAATAAGCGAATCAATGAGTCCACTACAGCAACCAAAGCCTCGCACACGTCATCTTCATTCTCAGCTTCCGAGAACCGCAAAATATAAATATTCACAGATACAGCATCAAACACAAGAGGTTTCTACCCAGCCTGTGCCGTTGTTGGGCACCCGTGGATCCGATTTCGCCTTTGTCATCTGGCGTTTGGGCGTGCTGTCATCGTTATCCTCCTCCCAATCGCCACGTAAGACCTGGCGGCTCAAACATGGCTACTCCAAAGGTTTTGATGGTCCATGTTTGAGACATTTGAATGAAATTAATACAAATTAATACCATATATACATTTCTATAATTCATATTATACATTACTATACATTACTATTACCATACATCTTTCCAAAGCCGGTTTGGGAAGCAATCCAGAGGCCTAGATGCCCTGAGCTTCCTACGCAGTTGAAGAGCGCAGCCTCGGCTCCATTGAGCTCCATGGTTAGCAGCCGGAAATCCCCTCCTAATTGGGTATTTCAATGGGAACATAAATCAGATTAAATAAGTAATAGTTTATAATAGTTATGTAAGATATAGATTAGAATGATCATGAATGATCTACTTAAATGGTGTATTTGGCCAGACTGGCCATGCTTGATTACAAAGCTTTGCAAATGTCTGCAAGCCGCATGCTCACACTGTGCATTATTATATATTATTGTCATTCTTATGACTGTAGCCGAGGTGATCATCCATTGGTCCATGATCATCTGGCGCATAAAGCGAATTTCGTCATGTGCGGGCATCCTTTTTATGCCATCCTTTTATATGGAAGATCCACACAGTGCAGACTTGGGTTCGACTTGAGTCTCAAACCCCGCAATTCGCCGCAGTCGGGTTCTCCCAGCGGCCTGAAAATTGAAGTGGTGTACGAATTGCGAATTTGAGATTTCTCAGCCAGAAAGGATGTTCCCTGAAAACAAGCCAACCTGGCATGATATGATCAAATGCCAATTTTGAAGCTTTCATGTTTGGGGTATACAACTCAATATCCACAGTCTTTGTACCAAGGTTTCTGAGCCAATTCTGCATCTTTATGGGTGGCCTCCGGATTTTGTTGGCTAAATTATGCTAGGCTGAATCACTTTGTTGGGGGGTTCTCCCCTATGTGTATAGCTTTACATTCCCAAGATGCCATGGCATACCCACGGGCGCACCTACAGGCTCCGAGACTCTTCGCTCCGCCAGGGAACTTGAAGCTGAAGCTGGGGCTACCACCTGGGAGAGATGGATGACCTCCAATTTATGGCAGTTTCAACAGATCTTTCATGGTGAACATGAGATGCTCAACCATGGGAGTTGGGGTGTATCCTATTTTCAGACAAACCCAAATGGTTTTAGATAGCCTTGCATAATATGATAGAACTGCAGAACCCCCAAACAAATGGGGGGTTCCGGACTGGCAAATAGCAGGAAATGGAATGAATCTATACTCAACTAGTGCCGCAATTGACGATTAAAGGATTAGGATCTCACCAGCTCAAAAGCATATCCTAAGATCAACATGATTCAACATGATTCAACCCCCAAAAAAAATCCTGGCATATCCCATGGCATCCCCCAAATCCAATGGCACTTGAGTTTCCCGATCCAAGTGGCTGATCGACCAGCGAGTCCAGTGATTGGCAGCTCAGCTCGGCCTGGAGCCACTGGAGCCACTGAAGCACAATATTTTTACCATCGAAAAATGGTGGTGAAAAACATGCTAAAAAAAACATCAAACATAAAGGGATTTGATATGATTTAATATATGTTAATATATTTTAATATGATGAAGAGAACCACCTGGTTTTTTGTAACCACTGAACAATGGATTTGGGTGCCACAGTGAGCTAAATCGCTTAAGTTGGTGGAGTTCAGTAGGTTGACTAGGAATTATTGGAGATATATCGAACTAGTTAATTGGATCATAGATCAACAAACATAACGGGGGGCACCACCTTGTGGTAATGCTAGCATTGCTATGATTATTGTAGGGTGGCTGCTATCAGACAGAGCGTGTTACTATCATTAGGGATAGTATTCCCTTAGGGGATGATATCCTACCAGTTCATAGCTTGGAAGTTTCTATGCTGTGGCTATTGCTAGTTGTAAAATGTTATAAATATAATATAAGTTATAAATTATAGTCCATTTGTGAATGGGATGCTTTGGAAAATGTACCCAAAGTCAAGTAGATAGTTCTTTGAAATGGATTGTCCACACGTCCGGAAGACTATTAAAATTAAGATCGGTTGATGTTATATATGTTACAGTATATCAAGTGACAACTAGTAGTTTGGGTTCTTGCCATGATTACAAACGTGTTGTAAACTCCTAGTTGGGTTGTTAAACCTACAAAAACTACAATTGTTTCACGGAAACAGCGACACAACCAACGACAACGGAAGTAGTCATGATTAGTGACTAGTGATCATGCCTAGTAAGTCCATGTATGTTATACTGTATATCACTGTAATTATATATCCCATAACTGCGGATGTCTCAAGTACAATGGGGGATCGTGGTCCAAATTTTCCAAGCGCTGGTAGATTCATGGTAGCCCAAAGCCTCAGAATGGTGAGATGGCGGAGTGATGGCAAGGGGAACCGATTAAATGATCTCACGGTTCGAAATCGTGAGACTCTGTGGTAAATGTTGGGATGCTAAGATACCTTGAGGGGATAGTTGGCTTGAATCAATGCCCAATCGATGCCCACATCTGTGAGCTCCGCTTGATTTCGCTGATTTGTGTCTGTCTGTGTGTTTGTGCGCACGCTCCTCACAATCCTATCTGCATGTGTCAAGCATGCATTCAAGTGTGCTATTAGAAGTCTTGTTCTTAGGTTCTTAAGTTGGGTCTGCCCCTTTTTGCGATGAAGGAGGAGATCACATTTCCAGGAATGGCATGCAAAATTCGTGCAAAATACATACTAGTAGCTGACACGTGGAATATCATATTCAACAAAGTGCTAGGGAGCCACGAGCGGGAAAAATGTATGGATCCACCGCAAAATCCAACAAATGCGAAGTAGCAACCCCCCAAAGAAATTGACATAGAGTCCCCATATCGTAGCAATATGTCTCGCTATTTCCATTTAAAAGAATCCTCCAGCTCAAAAATGCTCAAAACCCAGATGTCAGCTGCATACGCCTGGCTCCAGGCTACTTCGGCTCCGGATGGGCAGCGCAAGGCCCATAGAAGGCCGTTTGTCTGTGGCAGCGCAGGGTGCTCTGGCTACCAACGGTCAAGAATTGGTACCAACATGTACCAATGGGTTGCTTTATATATCTTTATGTAGTTGATACAAAAAAAACATCAAAAAACTGCCTAAATCTGTGAAGGCTTCGATACAGGATATGGGGTTTCCAGCCATAAACATCCATAAACCAAGATGCCCAGGTGCCCCTGGGGCCCTTCACCCCTGCGCCCACCTTCACATTCACTGGCACTTCGACCCTTGATGGGCAATGCCAAGCCATGAGAAGCTGACCGCTTTTCTGGCGCCGGGCCGGCGTTTTTTGACACAACTGGAATGCAAAGACGTGGACGTGGATGATGAATCATGAGCATATCAGCCCTGAAAATGATTCACATTGATTCACCATGTTATTCCAATAAGATATGATGCAAACCAGTCAAGCTTTCTGAGATTGACCTTTTTTTTCCTTTCCCCGACATGCAGAATGTGCCTGTCGTCTCAGAAACAATTTCGCTGACACTTCTGCCTTTGATTGGCAAAGTTAGGCTGCTGCCTTCCAGGCGGCGATGCACTGGATCTCCAGGGCCAGTGGTGTTTATCATCTTGATGTGGTGAGAAGTAAACCAAGAAGTAGACCAAATCCCCAAAAAAATATCAAAAAATACAACATATCAAAACATATCAAAACAACGAATAAGAAATGCACGGAATATATCGGAATAGCTACCAGCAACTTCTCTTTCGCCACAAAAGGCATCTCTTCTTGAGGTGGAGAACACCAAAGTTGCTTCAAAACTTGGATCTCTGATAAAGCTTGAGTAGAGGTCGCTAGATGGACTCTGTGCTCACGGAGGAAGAGAGAGAACAAGAGGCCAAACGGGCCAAACGCAAGTCTCCGGGGACAGCTTTTGCCGACCTATTCAGGGTGGGGTCCTGAGAAGTCGATATTTTCTACCTGTTCTCTCAGGTTCACAATGTTGACAGGCCAACAGCGGCAAGAAACTAGAGATGTGATGAGATGTGGCATGATTTCCAAGTTCTCCTGAGGTTGCCTTGGTACCAACCCACATCAACCCACCCAAGACCTAACAGATGCAGCACGGCACCTGTGTCACTGCGGCTGCGAATCGGCAGCGCCATTCCCGCTGAAGTACGCGTATCTGGGACATCAAAAAAAACTGCGGTGCTGAATTCATATCATTCCAGCAGGCCGTACCTGCAACTCCGTTGGGTTCTGGCAAGCGAGGCTTGGGCGCTGCACCTTGATTCCAAGGTGGTCTCAACCCCACGATGAGAACGATGAGAAAGATGAGAAAGGGGAAAACAAAGTGAAACAACAGGAACAAAAAGTGAAAAAGTGCCTCCCAGGGTCTACTTTTCTACCTCCATAGAATCATTGCATAGTTTGGCGAAACCAAGTTGCTGTTGGGCGTTGCCAGCGAACTGCGGACCTCAGGCGCTCCGATCTCAGAGTCTATGGCAGCTGCAACATGGTGCTGTTCAAAATGCTTTCTGAAGTTGCATACTGGACAAATGGTGTGGAGCTGCAGTCTATCAAGAAACCAAACAAAGTTCATCAAGAGTGCAATTGCTCATAGATCAAGACTTTTACATCTCTGGACATTGAATATGTCTGATATTTTCTGGTGCATTGGAGATAGGTTTTCCAAGGAATCCTCCAATCCTCCAAGGAATCTGTGACGAGATGCTGCCGGACTTGCGAGTGCTCCTGAACATGGCCCTGGCGAGAATACGCTACCTGGGCTGGGGCAGGGCCGCAGGGGCCGCAGTCGCAATAAATCAGTGGACTGATCCCCGTGTCTCGATGGTTCCTGTAGGGTACCACGTGTAGAATATATCGGTAACATTGTCAAAAATAACTAGTGCAAACCTAGCGGGTTTGCTAGCGCTGCTTTGCAGAATTGGTGAATTTAGTTGCGTGCCGCCTCGTAACGAAGAGGAAAAAACCACTAGATTCACACTAATTATCAACAACTAGTTCAAAACTTCTGTCAGCTAGTTTTGGCAAATGGTCATATATATGTGATATGTGTATATTGTTTATGAAATAATATAGTGTGTCATATTTCATTATGTGATGTTATGTCATATTATAGTGTGTTACACTATGTTATATCACGTTAGATTGTATTACATTACAAAGATGACTATAACTATAATGATAAGTATAGTTATAGCCATAATCATACCAAAAATTAGATATGTTATCAACCATCTCATCAAATGGTATATCAAACATTGTATCAAATATTATATCAAAGAATATCATGTTAAATGCGATGTTACATTTATATGCAAACTATCTGTACATCTATGCTATATTGGTATTATATGTACATTATATCATATTTATATTGTTGTTTATCTATACTTACATATTCATAGTTATATTTCCATATTTCGATGTAACTCATAGTTATATGTATATCTATATACTTATATTATTATATATTTATTTATATTGCATCATATCATGTGATATCATACTTGAGTAAGATCTCCCCATTATATTCAAGTGGCTGGTGCTCGGAGTGGCCGAGTTCATGTCGACTGCACTTGGCCTGCGCGACCTGGGGATGTTGAACGACATCAAGCGATTTGAGCATTATGCTGTGGTAAACACCAAGATAGCTGGGATTTATGGATGTGAAATGATATTTTAATAAGCCGAAACCTATTTCATATGTTCTGATCCGGGGCCATATATGAAATTCATAGTTGTTTTCATGTCAGAGAATCATGGATCTCGTGAGAAGGTACCATGAAAATACAATGAAAAAAATCAAATTTCAACCCCTCAAGTAGGAAGAAATAAAGATGTCATTAGGATCTCTTTTGCACACAAAGGGGGTATTTGACACATAAGTCATATGAACTAAGACTAAGAATGATATCATAAAGAATCCACTGGCTTATTCGAGTAGTTGAGCCACCCAATCATCCGATGGTGGAGGGACAAGCAATGCTTGACACTACTACCAACTAGTCGACCACTGCGAACAGCCGGACCAAACCTATGAGCACAGGCCTTTTGGAATTGTCATTGACCCATATTGACCCCCGATTTCTTGTGTTTTCAACCAGTCTTGACATGCGAGGGCCCACCAGTGATCTCTGGAAATCGAGTCACAACGACCCAATAGATGCAGTGCTGTGGTCGGAGGTTGATGAGCTGCTTTTCGACCCTTTGCGCGGGCCTGTTCCGAGGGCTTGGAGTTGGGATTTTTTGCCGTTGAAAGCATTGGCATTTTGGGGACACGTGTCCAATGACGTCCCATGTCTCTCCCATGTTCCGTGTTTCGAATTGCCTGGAAATGCGCCCAACACAACTCCAGACGTCAGGGAGACAACCTCAGGTCAAACTGGATAAAAGCGACGCTGCAACCATTGAGCCATGCTGGGTTTGTGTGAAAATAGGGTACCCCCAATCTTATACTTGATCATTGCTTTTCCTCCCAAAAATAGCAATAGACAACTAAGTCCTAGGTAATTATTCCATATTTTGGCGATGGCTACAGTATACTGCTGTGATGGATCAATGGGTCGGATTCGCATTTGTTCAAAACTCCAGAGTACTGAAGCATCCAACTGTTGAAATTTGATAAAGTCCTATACAAATGTCAAGGGTCACATTGCTCTGGCGGATGTCCCACCCCAGTCTGCCTGTCCAAAACTCCAGCTGCAAACATCTCACTCTAGGACACACAGGTTTCGGCCATTTATGCTAGCAAGCATCAGTAAGCTTTCCAATTTTTAGGAATACCACTACAATAAGTATACTGATACTTGTCATAACACTAATAAAAATAAAAATAACAATAATACACAATAATTAATAACGATTACAATAATAATGACACTTACAATAACAATAATCCATAAGAAACATTGATAAATAAACAACAATGATAACGATAAACACCTTAATTTGCCGGAGGCACTCTCAAAACACTGTCTGAAAAGCTAGGGGACGTGAGCAGCATCAAATCATAGTGATAATTGATATACACATTATACATCATTATACACTGATTTTATGTGCCAGCAATATGTAACAATCAAAATAATAGTGATCAATGATACTATACCTGCCGAGCATCGGCTGCAGATTGCGCAACGCTACTGGTTGTAACATGCTCGCCTCAGGAGATCATCTGGATGAATCTGGATCAAGCTCCCATTGGGTCCCAAAGGTTTCGAACATCTCAATGGTGAATATTTTGGTACAGCCAGTGATAAACCTACGAGTACCACCCATCATCACCCATCTATGGTGATATTGGGGATGGTTTGTTATCGGGATCGCTACATTCAAAGAAATATGAATCGGATATTGACCATATTCGCCAAAATTCAGGATGTTGAGTAACCGCTTTGAAACTTCGCCCATCAAATCTCCTGACCCAAAACGACTTTGATCCCAGCATAAAAAAGGCCAAACCACAGTGGATGTCGCTGCATTCAAGTCACAAATTGGCTCGCAGGGCATGGCCGAGCTCACATTGTGATCAGCCAGCCGGCTCAATTGCTGCTGATGGTTGATATAGCTGTGCTGAATGTGGCCAATGGCCAAAACAACACTGGGTTTATAACTGAACTTGTTGCCTTGGTCGTTTGTGGAAACCCAGTGAGGTTGGCACATGAAACATGAAATCCTTTCGAATCCTTTCGATAAGGGAATTATCTGGTGGGCTATGTGGGTCCGTGTATCTGGCGGGCTATGTAGGTACGTGTATGAGAAAAACATATTTCTGGAGCGCGAAAACCGCTCTCCTCCTATCTCTGGCCAAATGCAACGAGAGCAATGCGAGGGAGATCATGATGTGTCCCCACCGATTATGTAGTTGCAGGGCTACCCACCGAAGAAGAGAACAAAACTATAGACTTCCAATAGTTCAATAACTTATCACAGGAAACCATGCTTGTTATCGCATACATGTTCCTATAAAATCTACAAACCAAGTCTGGGAACTTGGGGAATGATGGCTCCTGGATTTACATCCAACGACCTCTATAGGCTTTGCCCAGCTGCAACTTTTTTATCCCGCAGCCAGAAGACTGATGCTCTGACATTCCGCTGGTATGGACCTTGAGAGCTCTGATAGTCATGGGTGTCATGATGGGGTAAAGCCAATTATTGCAAAGTAATCAGAATCATCCTCGTCAAATTAGAAACATGTCAATAAAAATTAGTATTATGATTGCAACAAATGATGGTAATGACATGTATATAATGACAACAACAGTGATAAGATATATATATATAATAGAAAGACATTAAACCATATTAAACCATATTAAACCCACAAACGTTGGGATCCTATTAAGATTTCAAGAACATGGGCTCATAGGGTGAACCGCATTTCGTAAACCCCCTGAGCTCAGGAGATTTTAGGGTCGTAATTATGGGTGCTTTGAGTATCCCCTAATTGGCAAGTCATTGAGTCACCACACCGGCCAAGATGCTGGAAGCAAGCATTTGTGCTAAAGCCGATAGTTCGCACTCGAGCACATGCCTGGGCCACCGCAACAAACAACGCATGGTTGTCATCCAGAGCGTGCTTCAATGCAGCGACATATGTGCAAGACATTTTGCTGAAACGCAACTTCCTTTCAAATCCTTTCAACGTGCCAGGGCCATTTGACACATCTTAGTGATTTCAGAGCTATACCTCGCGCTCCAATGGTGCATCAAGGCATGTTAATTGACTGGATTACTGTACGTCAAAAAACGCAATTTGAAGAAGAGGTAAACAAAACCACTTGCCCTCAACAGCCTGTGAGACTGTTTGAACATTTTTCTCCATTGGCAGGAGACTCTGCGTATCTGGATCTTTCTGAAACTTGGGTACCCCAGAAATCATCATGTTCCCTGACAAAAGGCCCCTTTTGGAGGACGCCGAATTTGGAGACAAAGCCATATCTCGATCTTTCAATCTTCGCAACCAAGTCGCTCCAATTCTGGTGGAGCAGCCAGAAGAGCCATCCCTTAGTGCTGAATTCGGTGGATGTTTGGCAGCCAACGCGCCCACGAAAAAATGACTGGTGGATCTTGGCTTCCCTGCCAGCACTCGACTGCTGCTGCTCATGTGGCCTTTCAACCTCCAAGTTTCTTGGATAAGAGCCGAAGACACTTTGAATATCTATTTGCAAGTTTTTCAAGCATTATACAGGCGGAACAATGAGTCCCAGAGACTCCTGACAGTTGGAAAAGCATCTCACAGAACTGCTGGGAAGGAAGGTCACTGTTGACTCCAGCATTTTATGCTCAAATGCCTGCAGCTTAAGCACCGACTCCAGACACAGCCACTCAGCCACTGGCCTCGATTTCTGCCACCAGAATGTCTTCACCTGCAAACCGCTTCGGAATAACAAGGAAAGCGCAGAAGCGCATGCAATGGCTTAATCTTGGTTTCAGCTGTATCTGGGATCGCAACACAGACCCAAAATCGTAACATTCAAGAAGCAGCAACCCAAGTGACATAAGAATTAAAACAAACCATCTGCTTTGCTTGCTAAAGCCCATTGTTCTTAATCTTTATGTACACATGTTTGTGCATGCATTCTGTTGGAAGCACAAAGTGCCAAGCAATACCAACAAGAAGCATTTATTTTACCTTCAAAGCCTTACAAAACAGTTGGTAGACCCTCTTGAGCCATTACACGTCCCGACATGTCCCAACATGTCCCGACACGTCCCGACACGTCCCGACACGTCCCGACACATCCCAACACGTCCCGACACCTCCCACGGCCCCTTGCAAACCCTCATAAGAATTCAAAAGACATCAAAAGACACATCGAAACCCAACAATACTTACCAAAACTCCACACAATGTCTTCCGAGCCTCTTGCAGAGCCTCTTGCCACCCAACCGGACCCAAAGGCCAATCAAGACCTTCTCCACTACCCCGCAACAACACCCCCAAAACCACAACCTGCAAAAAGGGGCAACGCAAGTGACATACAGTGACATACAAGGGATTCAAGATTCAAATAACGTCAACGGCTTTGCCTGCCAATCCCAATTATTCACCATATGCACACGTATCTTTTTGCATGTAGCCTTTGGAAGCACCCAACGTAGCTTTTTGGAAGCCCCAAACGCATAACAAGAACAATGAAACATTCTTGCACTCCAGAAGCTCCACAACATCCTCTTGAGACCCCCACAAACTCTGATAAAAATAGATGTAAGCCTCTTCAATAAAGAACCCAAAGCCAAAGCAAGTGAAGAAGCATAGGCTCAAGTGACTTATAAATTATAAACTATAAACATTCGGAGATGTCAACGATTCTTACAAAAATGACGTGCAGAGCAAAGACCCCTAACCTGTTGTGTTGCCAAGTTCGCACGTAACAACGCTTTCCGTCATCCCGGGGAAAGTAAAGGCCCAAATGGAGAAAATCAACGCCACACGCTAAAGTTATAAGTAGAATGTTCCACAGCAAATGTTCTAAGTCAGCACTTGCTTGGGGGCTCAGTAGTACACGGGCGCACCTAGTTCAGCCAGGCGTGTGTGAAAGTTCTCCGTCTGGGAACTGTCAATGATGGGATACCACAGAGCAACTGAGGTCAGAGGCCTCAAACATCAGAGTGGCGGTTTGGCCCGCACAGTAGTCTGTCTGAAAATGGGGTATCCGGGTATCCAGTATCCCGCGAATAGTTATATTACAGGGGAACTGATGAAAAAACGTTAAATTTGGGATACCAGTACCAAGGGATATCTATTTTCAGACAAACCCACATCAGTCCCAAAAGTCTCATGTGTGACTTTGCTGAACTTTAGCATCACGGCCGACTCATAGAAGCAGTGCATTTAGCATTCCAAGTCCGAGAAAAGGATGCCCAGAGCTGCTGAGTGGCCAAGTATGCCGAATGTGCTTTATGATGAAGAGATTCCAGACATGATACGAGTTTACCTTGGTGGAGTTGGGCAAGGTTCACCGGTACAATCCAACGGTCCAACACTTGGCACAAGTGGCCCAATCTTCCGCAACAGTATTGAAGTCGCTGCTATGATATACCATCTGTCCATACCTGTCCCATGAGCCTAAGCCTAAATGTTACAATGTTGCATGTCTCAACATCTGGGAGCCAAAAGAAATGCTATTTGAGGCTAGGAGCGGGTAAAAAAAAGGTGAGACATGGTGAAACACTGTTCTTGGATCAGTAGCTTTGTTCATCAGAGCCAGCCCAGCTGCTGTTATCCCATTTTGACATTATGGGAAAATCATCCAATTTGGGTATCAAATTTGGCAACAACAAATTCAGCAAACGAACTTCGGAGATGGCGCTGAGGGGTGGGATTAAGCTGCTGTTGCTACGTCCCCCAATAAAAAACATCGACTAAGACAGGGCTGAACCTGCAGATTAAATCAGCCTATAATCTTTCCAACTCAGAGGTGTCAAGGGATATGATCAAGGGTACAGGAAGACATGATAAGACATTCCAGTCTTTTGCTTCTTCCTGGCCCCCCACACTGCCATAGCCCGTTGCTCAATGTTGCTCACTCCGCCAGGGCTCAGAGTCGTAAGGTGGATCAAGCAGGACCAGCCTGAGAATGGCGCAACTGAGAGGCTTGGTGCGTCTGGATTTTAAAACCAAACAGACCAACTCCCTTCATTCACATATTTGTTTCATGTGTTTCATGCTTTGTGTCAAACCATCCAATTTTCTGGGTAATCTACCGTAGCATCTTTGCGGAGTGTATTCTTGCATCTCACATACAGGAACAAATGGCACCTGGCTTCAGATACCTGAATGAAGAGTCACGTTGAGTTGGTGCGTTCCAGCTGCCCGTTCAGATTCTTGAGAATCTGTTGGCTATTTAAGGCTGCCCTTATTCACCGAGTAGCACCATCTGCACAAATGGAAAGAAGTAGCAAAACAGTGGAAGAGACGTCTCTTTGCATGCCCAGATGGAATGTGAATTGATCTTATTGCCAATGGACCCATTATCGAAGGGTGTCTTATTGCCAATAAACCATGTGCAGCTGTGGATTGCAAATCTTATCTGAAACCTCCTCTGCCCAGGAACCCTCTGCCAAACGCTTCTGTCTCATTCATATCTAGGAGCCACCGATAGGAATCGGCTTGCAACCTTGGTGTCGAAAGTTCAGAACGGCTGTCACGGAAAATGGCAGGAGGAAACTGCACTTCATGTGACCTCATCCCGGGAAAAAAAAAACATGGCATAAGGCATGCACATAGTGCCCACACTTTATTTATCATGTGTTGTCGTCTTTTCTGTTCTGCATCTTGTGGAATTACACTTGTTCTTCCATATCCCAATTGGTCCATGCGAAGGCGTTTCGATTAATCTTAGCATATCTTAGCCGAGTAACAATCTCAATTCAGCGCAGTGCCCTCGGGTTGAAACATCAACACCTTCAAGAGGCTGTCGTACCCAAACAAGCCCATTAATGCTGCAGAATGTTGTAGAATGTTGTAGATAATTCCTCCGGTTCAAAGACTCTTCACTCTGGATTACATAGACCAGACCTGACATCGTATTGAAGACCCCGCAAGTTTTGCAAAGTTTGCAGATTGCAGGACTTCCAGACACTTAATGTTAACGTGGGATCAAAAGCAACCAGTTTCTTGATAAGCGGTATCAAGTTTAGAGTTTAGAATCTTAGAAGTAATTGATAGTAATTGTATAATTTATCCCTATTTCGGGGTGACCCCAAATTAATATGTCCACGGGGTCGATGGAAGGTTTGATGATCAGTCTATCCTCACGCATCGCACAACGACGTACTCAACTATCCCCACCTCCCAAATGTTGCTTCAAATGCTGCATCACAGAATCAGAAGCCTCGAAGTAGACGGCCTCATCGAAAAGGGGCGCCAAGCTCATCGGGGGATGGAAAAGTAACTAGCCATCAAAATGTTGATCAAATTTCATCGAAATGTTGAAAGATGTTGAAAGGATTAGAAAGGATCTTGATCTTGCCATCTGGCATTCACCTCCGCCATGGATCTCTTGCAGCAAGGCTCCTTGTCCTGTGGTCGCAGCCATAGATTCAGCAGTCCAGAAGAACCCAGGTAGAATCGGAGCTGATCTGGCCAAGCTGTGTGACCTTGTTGTGCAAGAGTTAAAATCTGTGTTCATTGATTCATGCAGCTCACAAATTTGCAGTCCGTAAATACAAGTCTGATCACTACCAGTCACTACCATGGTACTTCAGGAAGGCGTCTCGAAACAAGGCCACAGAATCAACTGCAGAATCACTAGAAACAAGCTGTTGACGGCCTCCTTCAACGTGCTTCTGTCGATTGAAATAGCGCAAGCTTTGCAAGTAACGCATCACCTGAGAAAGCAATTATGTGATTTCAAGCAACCAACATTGAGCCTCGAAAAGTGACAATTCATGGCAAGCCGTGATTAGCACATCTACTTCAATAAGTCTCTGAGCCGCGCGCGACTGTGGTACAGTTGTGCTCATTTGCGATTGCATCAAGATGCTGGATCCCATCTTGATAGTTCCTGGGACCAGAACAGCTTTGCAACGCTTTGCATATCTCGCAGGCATTCGCAGGCTATCTAACTCGTTTCTAAACATAGAAAGCTGCCCGTCCAAGTTTGAACTGAGTAGGACGAGAGAAATCGCTTCCTTCAGCAAATGAGCATTCGCTTTATTTGGATGTCTGCAAATGTTGATTCTTCCCATGTCGTTTGGTCAAAGCGATGATTTACATAAGCCACAAATTGGATGAGTCAATGGGCGAGGCTGGAAACACAATTTAGAAGAGGGTTGAATCAGGATTCCATTTTCGTTCATCAATTGAGTACGGCAAAAAAATATGCGTAACCCTCCAGTAAACTAACATCGACGCCCGTTCAAGGTGGCATCTATGTTAGTTTACCTCAGGTTACAGGTAACATGCCAAAAAAACACCAGCCACCATTTCTGGTCCCTTTCTTGGGAGCACCTCCGAGTTTGCCGCACGAAAAACCCAGGCTCCGATGAAATGTCGCAGCACCCTGCAAGAGGTCGTAGACACCCGCGCCCGCATGGGCGTCCACAAACGTCAGAGGATCGCCAGCCACTGCCAACCGCTGCCAAAATGATAGGAGTACCTCAACTCTTCAGGATGTAGAATGATATGGATATACATCTGGCATATATCGATACAGTACAATGCAAAGCAGTGCAATGCAATACACACCTTCATCATCTTTGTGTGTATATCATATTGCATGCGTATAAATATATGTATACAGCACATAGAATGTGAATGGAAATCGATAGAAAATAAAAAGAACTCTGCTTGGGCAAGCTTGCCAAATCAAAATGTGACTTCATGGGTGTTTACTGCCGCACCCAACACAACATTCGATTTCAACTTCAAGCTCCTTTGTTTCGTGATCAGCGGTGCTTTCCTTTGAGCACAAATATTAGAGGATGAACATCTGGATTCAAGCTGAGGTACAACATGCTTGAAGCAGTCAATGGGATCACCCGCTTGGAAAGCATGCAAGTACTCTCGACGGTTCCTCAAGTTTGTCAGGGTATGGTCAGCGAATGTCCAGCATTCAAAAAAGCTAAACTGACTGGGAATAATCCTGTTGCAGCGGTTGCCATGACACCCATTGAAAACCAGATCTTGCACGGACCGTTTCAACTTGAGTTAAGCCAGTACTCTAAAACAACGAATCCTTTTTCCTACTATATATAATATATTATGTATATCAGCATTATCTATGTTTATCAGGCAAGAGCCTCCTATTGCTATGTTAGAGCCATTGAATCCCATCATGGAAAAAACGCCGTAGTTGGATCTCTCGCCTGCACCACTGCACCAAGCTGCAAGTTGTCCGCTCCAAGGCCATCTTGGATGCCTCGCGGTGAAGATCGTGGCACATCTGGGTATCTTGCAACGACAGACACTTCTCGGATTGAAAAAGAAGAATTTCATGAATCTAAAATGATCTAATGGGAATATCAAAAGAATGTGGGATATTAACCAGCCATTCTGAAGAGGTCAAATGGGGATCCAATGTGTGAGAACTTACCCCACCAGTGCCATTTTCCCAGAGCCCAGGCACCAAGTTCCAACATCTCTGCCAGCAGCTCCTGTGCACTAGGCCAGTTGCCACAACTTTCGCAGGCATGAATGGCCTAAGTGTGGCAAGGTGGCAAGGTGGCCACAAACCATCACAAGTCAGAAAAAGGGATTCGTCCTCATGGCAAACTTGTCATTGCGCAAAATCCCCCAATTGGGTTTCTGGGTAAAGATTACAAAACATATCAAAATATCTCTTGGATAATGGTCATCTTGTGGCAAATCGGAAGCTGATGGCTCCAGCCAAGAGGCTGTGTAGAAGGAGATTCGATCATGTTGCAGCTGGATCCTTTGTGAACAAACGAGCGACACATGCAACTGAACATCAGCGCTGTCCACCCCTATTCTGGCTCTCAAAGGGTGCTGGCAAACCAAAATCCACGTTTGCGCAACCATCCTACCATTCAGATCCATTCAGCATATGGAAACTTCATGCGCTCAATCTTGGAGATCAAAAGACAAACTGTGACAAACTCCAAAGACAGGAGTCTCAGTCATTCGTCTCAAGAGCTGTAAGGCCATGAGCCATTGAAGTCCCTTGTCACAGGCACCAATGACCTGAGACAGGGATATCATCCTAGGGGTTGCAGCCCACAAGTAATGTCTGATAGCTTGTGAAAATAATTCCAGAATATCCCAAACAGGTAAAGTAAATCAAAGTAAGAGGTCTTTGACACTTTTGAGAACCATCAACCTAATGTCTCTTGGGAAAAAAGTCTTCAAATCTTGTCCCGCATGATCAAACAAAAACATGGCTTCAAATGAACATAAATGAACGATGAACTGCAGCTGAGTCCAACAAAGCATTTGGCCCAGGGGCGGCGTTGTATGTAATGCAGTCGCTGTCCAAAATGGCTTCCTCGCTCTGAGTTCTCTCTCGTTCCCATGGAACGACTCCAAAACGACCATCCGGGAATCCGTACAGCTGCTGCAGCTGCTGGTTGCTTTTATCGGCTGAGCTTAATGTGACAGGATGACTCAAATGACTTAAACTTATGTCGTTGCGCCAACATGGGATGATGTTGTGTCCTTGTAACACTTGCCACCTCTGGGATGATATTCTCCTGACTAAACCAAATGCCACAAACCGTATTTTTGAAGTATGTCAGTATGTCAAAAAAAAAGCAGAAGGGAAAAAAAATAGAAAATCAAAAAATGCACAAAATCCCCATGTTTTCATCCCCGGATGGTCTCCTCCATCGCGACCAGCAACGCCACAGCCGCTTCCCATTGCGCAGCCTGGTACACGCAGCTGAAGCTGAGTCACTTGGGATAAGCATTGCACATGTGATTTAGGCAGCACAAGAAGGGAAGGTGTTTATACCTATATTTTAGGCTTTAGTGACTTTACATACATCATACATATTAAAGTGCAAAAAAAATGAACTAAAATGATATTACCTTTGCAACTCACATCCCCATCTTCACATCCCATTCGGCATCCTTCTCACAGGTGCTTACAGCTGCATTGCAGGCCGTCACACTGAGCTCGATGGAGGCACCGGCGGCGAAACGCCTCACCCATCGTCCAGCAAAAAATATTGCTCACCCTCGGGTTAAGTAAAATAGATATGGAAAAACCATGGGGAACCCAAGGAAAGTGATCAATCGTGGGTTTTCCAATGTTTTCCAGATCTCAATTAACTGGTAGATCTGTTGCTATGAATTGCTGAGATGTGCTTTAGGCTTAGACGGTCATCTCATTGATGCATGTTTCTGTGGTGTCCCCGGATTTTTTCCAAGGCTCAGCAAGGCAAGTGCCACCTCCCAGTGCCTCGGTCCAAAAATCCCCCAGGCAGGTTGGTTTCAGATGGAACGGTTGCCATGTTTGCCCATAAAGATCCATAAAGTAGATATATATAAATGATATAAATGGATAGCTTGTGATAGCTTGATGATTTTTTGTTGTGTCCTTGATGGTCTCATAATCTCTTGATCACCTGGATGGGACACTTGCAGCAAGGCTACCCTGATTTCTGACACGCCATCACCGTTGAGCCAACCGTGATCACATCCCCGAGGCTTCCTTCAGCAAGTTGTGCTAGGAGCCCAAGGCTTTCTGTCCTGCGGTTGCCAGTATGGCCAGTATGGTCCAATGGTGAATCTGTTCAAGCTCGAGGCAGATACAAAAATCGCTGAAATGCTGAAGTAAATCAAGCCGTATGGCAGAAAACAAGAGTGTGCTGACACCTGTCACTACAGAAAGAATAGAATGCTCACATGGCCTCATTCTACACAATATATGTCCAAATAGCACGGCGGAAGGGCTGTGTTTTCATTCGGTTCCAATGGCCTTCTAGTAAGCTCTAGCTTCTTCCTGGTTTAGACATATTGCAGAACTGTCTGTTCCCAAACATTGGGGTCCAAAACACACCAATGTCTGCAAACATGCGGGTTGTGGTCCTTCATGAGTACATTCACTCAGACTTTGCCTACACATGTATCTGTGCTCATACACGTTTCCTTGTAAACAAAGACACATTAATATCATTAGTTATATAGATTTGAGTATGTGCTGTGGACAACATTGATATTCGTTCATATCGTATCATACAACATCATGTCATAAGTATTGAACATCAGAATTAAAATCATCACATAACAGCATACAATGATATGGTATAGCTCTAATCATGCTCTCGTTGTGTATCTATGCCATCCTTCCATCGCTTCCATATCCTTCCCACATCCGCGCCGGTCCAGCGACCCCTTAAACTGCAAGCAGCGATGGCTGCATTCACGGTGACAAGGTCTGGTGGGACGGCGACAGCCCGCATAGACTGCCTCGCGTCGGCCGGTCTGTGTTGGTGGATAAAGCTGGACAACCATCACACATGGTTGGTATATGTTATGTAGGTAGAAAAATAATGAAAAAAAAACATCGACACTAATCAGTTATCAATAGAGTGAAGGGAACAATCTGCATGAAACCAAGGTTTTTACCATTTGATATAGGGATTTCCTGTGAGTTCTTACCCTTGAATATACGGGGTTCCTGCAAATGTTCCCATCATCCAATTCTGCAATGGGGATGACACTCCACTGGTTTCAAGTTTCAACCCGTCCAACCTGTCCCGTCCCAGAAACGTGAAAGTCTAAGTGAAACTCAGTTGGGATCATCATGCCAGGATGGAAACTGAACAGTTTTTTGAATATTTGAAACCCCCCCATCCACGTAGGGATTTAGAAGTGGAGCAACGCGAAAAACGGCCGTTGGCACCTGGGCTATTCATGGCTCAAATGATTCAGGTCATCCAGCTGGATCCCCTCTGAGAAACCCTGCAAGAGCTGGCAAGCAGCATCCCACTCGATGTTGGAGGCAAGTACCTCAGCCGAAGTCCAACTGTCGCACTTGCAGCTGCCTTTTTGGACTCCAATTGTGTTGATGGATCTGTACAGTCGGTGTTCCCACTTAGTGAAGGGCTGAGTCCGGTGACAACCAAGACTGAGCGCCGCACATTTTCCAACGAGTCAAAGGGCTGTGGGTCTATCAAACGGTTCAAAATCATCATTCGTTGGTTGCTAACCCCTGCCACCCACACCCAGCCAGTGAAACCCAAGATGCAGCTCCATATGAGACCACATCAGCCTGGAGATCCACCTAGTGGTGGCGGAGGTGTGGATTTTGCTCAGGAAAAAGCAAGGAACTCCTGTTTTTTTCACTAAATTCTCGGAGTTTGATTAGCACAACTTTGGATTTCAAGCAACAACAATGAGATCCTCGACCAGCGTGAGATTTGAACGAGCAAGACTTGGGATTTCACCAACAATGCTGGACGTTCAGGCCACCACACGATATCGCCGCCAACAAAATAGGGATACTGAGCAAAAGCAATGATTTTGCATGATTTTGCCATATTCAATCAAAAAGAATTGGGATATTCGCCAACGATGTCCGGCAATCTAGTCCAAGACCCAGTTTCGAGGGGCGTATGTCTTGAGAGATAAGTATGGCTTAAGAAAATTGCACGAACGGCGTTGAGTGTCAACCCATCCAACTTTGGAGGTCGAGGTTATTGCTGTGCCCAGCATTCGTCTCGCTTTGCCTCTTTCATTTCTGCCAGCAGTGCCAAAGCCATCAGCCATTGACACGCGCTGATGGCTGAGTTGTAGGAGATCGCATCCGCTTGGACCTCTGTAGCTCGCATCTCACGCAACAGCCTCACCGCAGTGATCCAGCGATCACCTGACAGGCGGTCTTCTTGTGCTGGGCTTGGTACCGGTGATTCAATGCGGAGCTCTGAACATTGCAGCAATTATTTACTAATTTACTAGGCTAAGTATGGTTAAGTAGCTTATGGTTTGCTAAGGGACTCAAAGCTTTTAATTGAGTCCAAGAAACCACGAGCACACGCTGAGATGGCCACATTGAAACAAATGGTGTCCTTGAACCTGCGCGACACTGGCTGAGACACCATGGAAATGTTGCTCAGAACTACAGTATGGGCTCAAAGATTTGATGTTACAGGCTCGTCCATCCTATCCTACTTGGACTCACATGAAAGCGAACCAAATCATCACCAGCTGCAAACTCAGTCGCCTGGTGTCTCCAAAGACTTCTAAGGCCTTCTGCCATTCAGAAGCCTTGGCACAAGAGCTGCTCACCGTGCTCATGGTCGCCGCTGTGGCCTCAACAGTTGTGGATGTGTCCATTTTTCTGCAAAACGTACCAACCTTTTAGGCATGGTCACGCCATATTTTTTGTGACACTGATCAACCATCAATTTTTGGGACGCATTCCGCATTCCCTTAATTTGCGGAAACTCCAAGGCCACCTCCAGGTTTTCATCTCGAAGGTCTCGAAGATTGTCAATGGCCTGTTGCCAGTGGCTGAGCCGTTCCAGGGCACTCAGCAGCAAGTTCCGGTGAACCACGTTGCTGCGGAGGCCAAGCGCCTCAGCGTCACGAAGCCCTGCTTCGTGAAAACAGCAGAATCCAAAGAAAACGACAGAAATGTTTACTTGGCTGGCCCGGTGGTAGAAAGTCGTTTTTTTTGTAACCCCTTTTTTTTTGCATTTATGTGATTCTTGAACAGTTGGTTGGTTTAAAATGGCAGTGAAAGGATTGTTCGAAGGAAAAAAAATGTGTGTTGGTCGCAACTGTTGAGGAAGATTCAGAGGCTTACACCCACACACAAAGTGTTTGCGCGGTACAGATCAAATTGGATATATACACAGTACCGTACCCTTCAATCTTGATAGTCAAAGTTGAATCGTGAAAAAAAAAAAACAAAATCCGTTCAAAAATCGTTTGACCAATGATTTATGAATATGAGCACTCAAAGGGAATCCCCAAGAAGTTGACCCCAATCATCCAAACATATCCAAACCCAGCACCTCCAGGCTCCTCAAGGTCTTCTGCAGCAACCGGCTGCGTTTTGCGCGCGCCAAGGGGCGCAAGAGGCTGGTGACCTGCTGTGCGTGCAAGGCGGCAGCATCAGCACCTCGAATGCCGGTGGTCCCCTGCGGGACAGTGTCCAAATGATACACATACCTCATGCGTATATCCATGATAAATATATATCACATTATATATATATATATATGTATGCCACATTATATATATATAACACATTATATTCAATATCATTATATATATATGTATGCCACATTATTGTGTATATATATATCACATTATATTCAATATATCACATTATTTGTATATATATGCCACATAATATATATATATATATATGTGTGCCACATTACATAAATATATATATATCACATTATATTCAATATATCACATTATATATATATATATGTATGCCACATTATTTGTATATAGATCACATTATATTCAATATGTCACATTATACATATATATATATACATATGTATGCCACATTATATATATATCACATTATATTCTATATATATCTACATATCATATTATGTATATATGTATGCCACACTATCTGTATTTATACATATCACATTAAATTCTATATATTACAGTATAAATATATGTATGCCACATAATATATATATATATATCACATTATATTCAATATATCACATTATATATATGTATGCCACATTATATATATCACATTATTTTTGTATATGTCACATGATATTTATATATCACATTATATATGCATCTATATATATATATATATTTATTGCTATATATATATAAATAGTGCTATTTATATATCAATATCACATTATTAATTTGTATGTATAATATATATATATATATATACATATCATATATAGATATATATGTATCATATTATATATATATGCATCACATTATATATATATATATCACATTATATATATATCACATTATACTAATATATATATATATATATCACATTATATATCTATATATCACAACATATATATATATCTTTATTATATCACATTGTATACCAGTAGATCACATATTATATATGTAGATAACAAGTTATTTATATATATATATATCGCATTATATATACATATCACAATATATATATATACATATCACCTTTTTTTATATTTATATCACATTACTTTAAATATATCATATTTTAATAAATATATATAATGCAATTTATATACATGATTTAATGTGTGTGTAAAAAAAAATATATATAGATAGATAGATAGATAAATATGGTGAAGCAATTCACAACCATTCGTAGAAATACAAGATAAAATGCTTGAAGCCAATGTCGCAACAAGGCAGCTGAAGAAAGAGGATGAAGTATTCAAAAGCTGTGACTGTACCATCATTATCCTCAGAGATGGTTTGCGGTTAAAACTGCTAGACTGCACGGATTCACACTCGAGCTGATGTTATTCCCACCTGAATTGCTTCCACGCATGAGCTCTTGTCATGGATGGTAAATCGTTCGTCCCGCTGCGCTTGTGCGTGAATACTCAGCAGCTGCAGCGTTTTACAAAAAGAGCTCACTGTTGATGCTACATGTTCTGTATGAATGAAAAGGGCGGAGGTGCCCATTAACAAGCACAAGACTTAGAACCATTTGACATGTGCTTCTTAATTGTTAACGGTCGACTTCATCCATATTAGATCTGAATATACAGTGAATATCAGCCAAGTGCCATCTAAAATTCGAATCCCAGCAGCCAAGAACCTCTACGATGCGGCCACTGGTCACATCATCTGGCAACTGAAGAAGACGGGATGCCACCTGGAGCAATTTCAAGGTCGCCTAGCTTGTGGTGCATATGTTCATCATTCAAAGGGTGCACTGCAATTCTGGGAACCGATCAACTGTGACATGACTCTGTGAAGCGCCCTTTTTCTAAACAAACAAAACAACATGTTGACACAACGACGCTGTCGTGCTTGGGTCAAGCCACCTGTGTTAAGTCAGAGTTTCTCACTAATTTATCACCCAGAAAAATACGTAGAAATCAACGGAGGTTTGGATGTTATTTTGGGTTACCCGCGATCGATATATGTATATATATATATATGCATGTAAGCATGTAAGCATGTAAGCATGTAAGCATGTAAGCATGTAAGCATGTAAGCATGTAAGCCTGTAAGCGTGTAAGCGTGTAAGCATGTAAGCATGTAAGCATGTATGCATGTATGCATGCATGCATGTATGCATGTATGCATGTATGCATGCGTGCATGCATGCATGTATGTAGGTCATGTACTAAGGTACGTAGGTACGTA